AAAAAAAAAAACTCCCACTATACCACAACACAACTGAGCTACCACTTGATGCCAACGGTTCTTAGACTGATGCTCTTTCTCATTTTTATGCCAATCATCCCAGTTCATATATATTATGTTGATGTCAGGCAAACACAGTCTTTGATGCCAGATTGTTTGAGGCAGATGCAGCTGCGATGAAAGAAAGAGAAACTGATTCATAGCTTGTTTGATTTTTAGAGCAAATACACCATTTCATCATAGGCCTGCTACTTTATCTTAAGTTTAAAATGCGATAGGAAAAATCTATCGTTATTTTCGCCACCTGGGTGCAGAGGTGTTACAGTGAAAGTGGTTCACACAGCTGCATCCCATACACTGATGTTACTTTATTTGTGACAAGAAGAAGAAGAATGGCAATTTACATTGAATTGAATGCCTTGGACACAGATGATTTACAGATGGACATCTGACAACAACCCCCGCATAAAAATGACTTTTTTCAATACCTAAACCAATTTTGTGTCTACAAGGACAAATGCCTAATTAGTTTTCTCTGTGTTTGGCAAACTTATCCAGCATGATCATTTACAGCTAAGGTACTGTTAGACCTCAAAGTCATCTTAGCCCTCACAGCCAAACCCCCGACATGAAAGGCCAATCAGCATCCCCTTGTCTTCATGGGGAGAACTGTTATATGTTGCCAAGCCCCATGATGACTTACTGTCCATTCCGAGAGCTTTGACTCGTCACTCATTACTTACGCTTTACTGTAAGGCTGACTGCAGATTCATAAAAAAAAAAGGTTTTTATCTAAAGATAAGGTAGGAAATGGGACCGTACAGTAGCCAGGATTCCTGGTTCAAATCCTGGAGGGACAAGGAACTTTCCTGTGTGGAGTTTCTGTGTTCACCTGTGTTTGTCTGTGTTTTTTTTTTTCTTTCTTTTTTTTCTTTTTCTGGGTGCTCTGCCTTCCTCCCACAGTCGAAAAACATGCATGTTAGGCTAATTAAGACTCTAAAATGACTCTAAATAAATTTAAAATTACTCTAAAATAACTCTAAGATGCCACTAGAATGAACTTCAGTTTGTTTGGTTGTTTGTCTCTGTGTGGCCCATGATTGACTTTGACCTGTCCAATATAACCCTCACATCTTACCCAATGTGAGATGATAGTTTCCAGCCCCCTCTGTTACCCGGATAAGCAGTATAGACATTGGTGGATTGATGGATAGAATTCAGAAATGTCACATTTTTAACAAGTGTATTTTGTCTCCATGAACAGGTAAATTGAGTGTGCAAATCATTCTGGACATCAGTTGTGACTTACTAGTTTAAAGGTATGGCCACACAAACATGACACACTCTTCATCTGTCTGATTTATCACTCTGCACAAAGTTATTTTGTTGGCCCAAATGAGCCGAAATCTGAATTGTATGGTTGCAGTCAACATCTTTGGTTTTGTATTCTTTTTCTGTTTGACAAGCTGACTTTTATAGTCCACGTGATGCTACCACTTAAAATCAGAGTGACAACCTGTGGTTACGCTTGTTCCTCACAACGGTTGTTTCTAACTCTGACGGGGTTTTCAGTTTTAAGCTCAGTGGTACCGTGTTGTGTCACAATTTATTTAATTTCATTCACTTCCTTGAACTCGTTGCTCTTCCTGTCATGTTTTGGCCAAGTGCGCATGCATGAATTATCATAAAAAAACAGACATGCATACTGTAATACATGTCACTGCCTTTTTTTGTAATTGCTTTTGAGTCCCAAAGCTGAAAGGCCGTCACTCTGCTGCTCCCCTACATGCAGTTTTTCAGGATCTGCTCCCAAGCTCACAGTCCCTATCAATTAATAGAAACAGTTAAGAGAGTGTCACTAAGAGGGTTAGTCACACAGAGCTATCCCGATGCCTGCCAACGCTGCCATGTCTTCTGACTTGTCTCGGCTGTTGCCTTTGGGGCTTTTTCCCTTTATAGAGAAGGAGAAAGGCTGGAAATGAAAGGAGCTGAACCCACACAGCTGAAACACCCTGGAGTCAGGAGTAGTGATGCACACCCAGGCAAACACAAATGTTGAGAGGGTAAGCTTGGGACAAATCAAATACGAGCTCGGATTCAAACGCAGACGCGCACCTATTCGAGTACACACAAACATGCTCACTCTACACAATTGTAACTTTCTCCTTTAACAAGTAGAACCTTCAGCATTCTGTCAAAGTGTCATACCCAACAGGATCCGAACAGGTGATGTAAGACAGGAAGCATTAATCACTGGATATATAAATTTGTTTGATCTGGAAGTTGGCATATCTTTGAACGGCTCCAGATTATTCGGTTCATTCAGTTCATCAATTCAAAGTAAACACTAGAAACTTGTGCTACAAACAAATTGAGCCCACTCAGTGAATATTCTAATTTCAATGATTCCATGATCCCTATTTAGACCAGTGAGCGGTTTTGACCAGCATGTCATTGGGGTAATCCGGTGGGAACCTTCTGTCCTCTGCGTTTCATCTAGTTGGGCCCATGACACATCCAGAAGGCATCCCAGACTCACTAATGGCAGCCATCACTCCCCCTCATAACAAAACAGCTATGTCTTCTACCACAAAAGTTTAAGTCAAAAGCACAGATTTGACAACCCAGTCTCAACCCAGTCTCAAGTAAAAGCAGAGGGGATGCAAACCCTGGTTGAGGTAGGGGGTTAAATTACAAGGTAAAGCTAAAAAAGTGGATTCAAACTTTAGTTTGGGTAGGGGTTAATGAAAGTATAGATTTGAAAGAAAGTACTAGTAAACGTACACTAGTATTAGTTATTTCGAAATAACAGTAAATGTTTGACAATCAATATTTCAAACACAGTAAGGACGGTTTAGTCATGTCTTGGAAACTTTATCAAAATCATAAGAACATACATGAGGTAATGCAGAATTTGATATCAAAATGCTCAAGATATTGACTTTTGTTGGTAGGGGATACAATGGTAAGTATGTTTTCTTCTCTTCCTGATGTATTAAGGAAAAAAGAAACAGCTGAAGCATGTTGGCAGTTGCAAAAAAATGAATAAGGTCATAAATCAAAGAGGACCTGTGAAAAAGACAACATGTGGTTTTTCCAGAGTCTTTTTGTTTTAGCGTCTCACACCAGGATATTTTTTTCTAATCCAAATTGTATGGTGTGCTAGAGCATATAAGTAAGGTTTTGTTCTCTTTATCTATCAAACACAGTTGGCACAGATTGGATACATTCCAATTTTTCTATTCCGAGTAGGGTCACAGGGGGGCTGGAGCCAATCCCAGTTGACACTAAGCAAAAGTACACTCTAGACAGGTCCGTCTCACTAACTCACTCCTAAGCTCAATTTTCCCAAATAAACCACAGTGATATAATATAACAAACTGATCCACACTCTCTCTGGTGTTCTGACTTCCTCATGGCATCTTTCATGGTCATTGACCACTTTTCTTAGCAGAGCTGAACCAATAAGTCAAGCAGATCTTTTTAGGCTTTTTAAATGGACCTCGATACATCAGGTGGAAACAGAAGTAGTGTTAGGATAAGAATTTTGAAACTGTCTAAATGGAAAACTTCTATGGAATTCTACTTGGTAACTATTCAGACTGAAGTATATAGCTGAAGGTTACGGATCATGTGGCCTTGTGTGGTGAGTTGAAAGTCCACCTGAGCCATTCTGTACATCTTTTACTGTGACATTGATGCTATCTCACTCTGTATCTTTAAAATGTTATTTTCTCTCCTCTTTTATTATCAAAACCATTGAGGCAGCTGGTGGCCTTCCCTGGACCTGCGTCTGCCTGATGTTTCCTCACATCAAAAGAGAGTTGTTTTCACCCTACAGTTGACCAAGTTTACTAAAAGATAATTTTCAGTTTTTTCCTGCTGTATTTTACAATACATGATAAATTTGGTTTTTGCCATCTATATGATTAAAATAAAAAACTCTACTTGAGTATGACAAATGCAAAATTCCAAGAAACCTTTATGAAATATGTATACCTGAGAGTAAAATATGTATATTTTGTTTTATGTCTATGAAAAAGTTTGGATATTAGTCTTAGTTTTTGGATTACTTTGAGAGGGTCTGGCTCTTTCACAGCAAGCTTCATAAAAATTCATACTTCTCAAACCTTGTCCATGCAATCAGCAGCCATGGGATTTTTGAAACAGCTGCCAACCATTCTATGAATTTCAATAATTGATGAAGGAAAAGGCTACAACAAGCGAGTAACAATTTTTCAGGTTTGTAACCTAATTCAGAAAAGGCAGTTAAAAGGATCAGTGAAGGTCAATTTCAGGTCTGAGGGGGAGAGAAACTGCAGGCAGGAATGCTTGAAAAGACAAATCACAAGAAATTACAGCACTGCCTTCTGAATGAAAAGTAAAAAAAACAAAAAAAAAACAAATACAAATACTCAACCAAGACCATGTGGGATAAAAACAACCTTCACAAGTGTTGACTTGCCAGAAGGGGTTCTAACTAAGGACTTCACATTCAGGGTGCCAAAGAATGTTTCTGTAAAGCTATTTTTCATTTATGAGAAATTGAATTAAACTTTTTCTTCATTTCATGCCTGAATACCCGCTTACCTACTGACAGAAACTAAAAGGCCATCCTTCTAATTTCTGAAAAAAAAAGTTGAAAACATTTCATACATAATGCAGTAAGCAGGGAAAGGCTATGCAGAATCAAACCAAAAACACGTATTCAAAAAGTTGAAAGACAAATGAACAGTCCCAAAAATCATTCACTTCCTCATGCAATAATCTCTACATTCTGCTCTGTGGAGAGCACAAAAATAAGCTGGAATTACTTGAGACGGCCGCGCCATCTGCTCACCTGGACATCTCCATAGTGTCCTTGGTGAGATAGACAATCCAGTAGACCAGGTTGAAGGCGCCGAATGAAAGCGGAAAGAGGATGCGTGAATATTTGTCGATGATGCTGGTGCCAGTCAGGACGTTGTTGGCCGGCACTGCTGAGCCTTGCTGCAGGAAAGCCTGGGCATTGACAGGCGGGTTGGGAAACGTTTTGGCAGGACGCTCAAACAGCGGAGCAGAGTTCATCCTCTTCTTCAGTACGCTACCGGCATCCACCTTTCAAAAGGGAAAAAAAAAAGCAGAATGTGTGACAGGAAATATGCGCTAAAGATGATTTTGCTCAGCTTCATATGAGAAAAGTGATAATAAAATAAACAATATGTGTTCTGTTCTGCAAGCTGCTCTTGAAAGTAAAAAAACAATCATTTATGATGTGGATAGAATTTCCTGATATGAATTCAGATGTGAGTGTCTTATTTAGATGGTAATGAGTTTACTAGAACATATAGAGAAACGTGACTGCGTTTGTTCAACTATGTCTAGGATACCAATGGAACCATACAATTATAGCTTATAAAACTAAATAAGTTATTTGTTTAGAAGAAATTTCAGTCAACCTTTTCGATCGGGATCAATTCAAAAACAAAACATATTAAACGAAAGGAGGGTCAGCATATTGACATGTGGTTGTCCTGTGCCTCATCGACTTTCAGTAAACCACAGGGACATCAATAAAGTCTGTAGTGTAATAGCTGTAAATCCATTACAGTATGTTTACTAAGACGAGAAGAGAGAACATCTAAAAAATGGGTCAAGGAACATCAACATTTTCCTCCAGGTAGTTTCAGAGAGCGGAACATGAAAGCTTAACGAGAAAGCGAAATAGAGGAAGTACAGAAAAAAAAAGGAAACATCTTGTTGGTTCAAGCGAATTAAGGTAAATTAGTTTTACCCGAGTTTTCCTAAACAATCCTTTATGAACAGTTTGTGATTCCATTATGGTTCTTTAGCAGACTAAAGGGTATCACACACATGTTGAGACATCACATCTTTGCAGTTCACAGTCTTGCCTCCAGCTTTTGGCCTTCTTCAGTTCACTGTGGACGTGTTTTTTTTTTTCTTCTTCTTATCATACAGTCTTGGAACAAAAAGTGATACTGTGAGATTTGGGTGGGATTTGTGAAGCTACAGGATTACATGCTCCGCTTCAGGTTGAAAAACTTTTAAACTGTTACAATCCTCTGTCTCTGAAAAGGCCTTTGGAAAATATACGGTTGGCAGTCTCAAAATAGGCCCAGACTTTTGTTATACAAAAATATTAAATTCAAGCACCTTGAATTGTTAGATTTCAGCTCTCAAGAATTAAAAAGGGACTATAGTAAAAGAAGGGGCCATAAAAGTATCAGTGTTTCCAGTACACTGATACTTCTAGTGTATTTGTAACTGATCCAAATACCATGCTACAGATGACATAATGTAAACAGATCCTGATGAAGACATAATGACAACGGGCTTGTTAGAAATATGGCTGCAGTTACTGCATGTTACTAACACAATACAGCAGTAAGCAGTTGGTTTTATTCCTGTGGGTGCTGAGTGGGTGGATATATGTGGATGATTATTACAGGGTATGGCATATGTGTCTCTAAATGTACTTTGTCTATATTTGAAACGAGACAACAAAAATAAAAGAAAATGTGCACAGTTGCAGTAAGAAAATAAATTAGCTGAATATTCTTAAATAACATGCTGATAAGTAAACTATTTTGTGTGCATATGCAGTTAGAAGGGTCATTTTGCCATATTTTCAATAGTATTTTTCATTTATTCAAATTGAGTTGTTGCGATTTATGTGATAGACGCAGATTTCAAATTTAACAGCAAGTGCCGAGGGATTCATATGTACTGTGTTCTGGAGTGAATAATAATTTTTTAAATGTTGAAATGGCTCACAAGACAGCAGTGACAAACAACTATTGAGCATTTTCCTCAAACCTTTTCTTATTTCAGTGAGAATGACACAATATGCCCAAAACTGCAACTTTATGAATAAGAGGGAATCAATCAACCACCAGGCATTCATCTTCTACGTGACGTTCCTCACTAATCACATCTGACTACTTAGCGCTGAAATAGGGAGGGCAAATTTTCTAATCACATTTGAGGAGTAAAACAAAACAGCAATTTCAACTTGCAGTCCATTATCTAAAGTAAGGAGTGAGTGCTTCTTGACACAGCCATCATAGTATATATAATGGATGGATCCTCTTTATCTGATGACATTCTGCCAAAGTGGAGGCCTCAGAACATTAGCTGTTAAAGAACAAACCAGTAGTTAACAAAATGGAAGCACTCACTACATTTTTCTTCTCAAACAGTGCACTGATGTAAGCAACCACTACGCACTTTATTCAAATAAAGATCACATAAAGAAGGTTTTCTCGGCTATACAGTATATCTGTGAACGTTTATGGTAACCACAGTTTCAAACTTTGAGACACTGATCTACTGTTTGGAGCAAGGTGTAAAGAAAAGTGTTCCATGTTATGTGGATGTGAAATATTTCATTTAAAATGATTTGCTATTTGAAATAATTTATCACCACAGAAAAGTGTCCACAGAACATTTTGATTTAATCAGGATGGCTCTTCACCCAAACAGTCCTCAACATGTGACTGTGGGCACATGTGGCTGGGTTTAAAAAACTAAATAAATCAATCAATTCATTTAGTCCTTTTTTTCCCCCAAATACCAAAGTTTTACTGTTTTCTCAGTCCAAGCACCTCATACTGCACCACCTACTCATCCACACCACTCAAACTGTGTGCAGCATCCGTGTTGCCCTTTATTTTTCGCATCTGTGAGTTTGTTTAATCAAATGAACAGTTTATTTTCCTGTTGGGATATTTTCAGCCCTATTGTGATTTTAACTGACAGACGTCACAGGCCTATGTCCTTTAAATTGTGATTGGAGTTCCTACCTCTAGTATTTCCCCCCCACCCACTTTTTAAAAACATTTTTTTACATTGTATAATAAAGAGACCTCCCTCCTACATATTTGGTGAAAGCAGTGGGGTTTTTTTCCATGATGCATCCCTCCCACTCCTTTTTTCTCTCAGTGTTACACTCTATATAATGAGAGCAAACGCACACACACACACACACACACACACACACACACACACACAAACACACACGCCCTCACATCCATCTTGCCTCATATAAATGGACGAGGCTTGCTTTTTCAGCCGCTTCCCACTTCCCGCTTCATTGTGGTGGTTGCCCTCCTTCTTGTGAGCCTACAGTGATCTGCGGGATATTCCCTTAATCTACAGCTCTTACATAATCTGGAGCAACATCGTTCACAGAGCCACTGGCTGTCCCATCTTGTCACTCTCGGTGGTTATCACACGGATATAGGGGAAAATACAAGGCCGGGATAGAGGAATGGATGGATTATATATTGATGTATGGGAGGATGGATGGAGGGATGGACGAGAAATTGTTTAGAGTGATGGGTTAACTGTAAATCGCAGGCCCATAATATGGTTCAAATGATGTGCATTTCTATAAATATATCTTTAGATTTGAAAATGACTGCTGGAGATTATGTGTAAATGTGAGAGCACAACTGTGGATAAAGTGGAGATTGTAATATTCCGGTGTGTTTATGTGGTCAAAACACACAACCAATAAGACTGGGACAGAGAGATAGTCATGGAGATGTGTGTGTGTGTGTTTGTGTGTATATGAATGCATGAATGTCTGTGCAAAAGAAATGATGCCAAGCGTATAAAAGAGATCACATTAAGGGCACAGCAGGAGGGAGAGAAGAACCAGGGATAGGAATGTACATTTACAGACACAGAAGGCGCTTGACCCATCAGGAAAAAGAAGGGATTGTGGTATTGGTGCGTTGTAAACATCGATATTTATTTACTTTTTTTTAGGAGACTTAACATGTTTGTTTGTACAGTGTTTGCAGTATACCAAACTGCAAATGATAGAAGGAGAAGAAACACTGTTGAAAGAGTATAAGAACCATTTAGAGAGTTAAAAAGAAAAAAACAACAACTGACAATTCAACAATCACGACCACAATACTCATTTTGGGAGGGGGTATCCCCTTTTATTTTGACGACACTTCAGATTTTGTCATGCAATATCCGCAAGAGGCTGGAGGCAAACCTTATGAATTCTGGTGCTTTTGTAACATTTGCTAACCTGCACCTTTACGCTATGAATCTTATGTTTTGCAACAACACACAAATAAAATTCCCCTCATGATGTTCCACATTATCGTACCAGAGGTGGTCACGAGTTAGATATCAGAGTTAAAAGTTTGTGATTTGTGGCAGAATGATTGAAAATTCTCCAAAAAAGGAGTGCTGTATAACTGCTGAAAAAAAGTAAAGAAAACTATTTTCATGACTCATAGGGAATGGTTCTCCTCCTGTCATCTTACAATCTAAAATCATCCGTTATGAAACTGACATGTGAGCAAACATACTTATTACACACTTTCTGGGAACACTTGGGTGCATTACAAAAATGATTTAATTATGTTGGGAATATTATAAATAACTAAAAAAAAAACACCAGTAAACCAACGATACCAGTCTGGACTACGTTGCTGATGCCAAATTGTGACTTTACCATCTGGAGAATGCCTCAACAGAATCTAAGATTCATCAGACTAAGCACCACTTTTACAGTCTTTAGCAGACCAGTGTTAGTGGGCATCTATCCACAGCAGCCTCAAACTTATTTTCTGATTAAGTCTTTGCTGTTGTGGCCTGTTGTATCTCCCATGTGTGGCCTTTAGTGTATTTGCTCTTGTCATCAGTTAAAGGAAATTGTTATGGAGATTTCTGTTACCGGTCTCTTGGCTTCACCCTGGCTAACCATCCTCCTCTGACTTGATTAATCAACAAAACCCATTTTTGTGTTAAGCACCACTCTTTTTTTATGTGACCTCTGTTAACTGTTAACTCTAGCTATTTGTACAGACATGAACATATATATGTAGTCAAATAGATCTGTAAATGACACACAATTCTTCTCAAACTTATCCCAGACTATTCTCTAACTGTAAAATATTGGGTATTTGGGAGGTCATTTGGCTTTTTCTGTGTTTTGCTTTATACTTAACTTAATTAGATTGTTTTCCATTACTGTGTTAAACTGTCACATTGCATTGAATTACCTGCTACATTAGTGTTTCCCAACCATGGTCCTCAAGGCACTGTTTTTTTAATGAAAGCATTAACCATAAATCCAGAACTATCAGAGTAGTCTTATCTGCTCTGTGCCTACATAGTAGAATGTATTACATTAGAAGCAAAGTGTGAGGTCAGGGATGACCGATGGATAAAGATCGCAGCCATGCATCTCAAACCATGAAGTCACACTGCTCAAAAATTTGTAAAAGGCCGAAGCAAGAACACAACAACAACACATTCCAACTTAATGCAACACTCTTTTCAACATCAACGGATGATGTAAACCTATAGAAATAACCCTGGCCATCTCCCTGACAACATTCTGAACTGCAGCCATCCATCAGTTTTTAAGAGCCAAACACCAATCCATACAGACTTTTAAAAAGCACTTACTAATACTCAACACCAAGAGTGAAACAAAAACTCACAACAAATTACACTATCGGAGAAAAATCATCTCTACCGAAGCCCCAACAAGTGCAAAATTGGCGAAATTGGCTTTTTTGCAAAGCTATTACAGGTTTTATAAGACTCTGTATAAAGAATCAATGCAAATTAGTCCTTATGTCTTAGTTTGCTCAGTCTTTTAAACACCTGAAGCAATGAGTCATCTTGTATCTGCAACTATTAAGTAATGCAGTGCATGTCTGAAAGTAGCATATGTGCAACTGTAAAAACTAAAGAAACAAACAAATGAATAAATAGGGCTGACAAACAGATGACAGACAAGCTAAATGCTGAACAAATCAATCCATAAAAATATGAAAGTTGATCATTAAATAGAACCACACATATAGATTATGACAGACTAATTATATGTATTGGTCCAGAATAGATGGTAGACTCCGTGCAACAAAAAAGTAACTATTCAGTTACAAAGTGCAGCCCTTCCTCTGTAAGTAGCAATTTAATAAAACCAGTATTTATAATTACTGCCACCTCACCGATTCTGAAAACCATGCATAGAGACTTTGAGCCAAACACATGTGCAAAATCACCATAAGTCAGATGTTATTTTCCCACGCGAAAACTGATCCGTTTACTTCAGTTGCTCAGATTAACTTATTTCTGAAGTTTAATTCTACTGCTAACTCCAAGTCTCACTGTGCACACTCTTATCCTAAGGAGGCAGCGTATCAAAGTCCAATATTGCTAAAATCTTACACTATGTTAAATAATACGAATCAGAGGATGAACCCGGAAAAGGTCACTGTCCAGCAGATGAAGTGCTGTTACCATGGTAATCGCATTGTTTGGATATCCGCCACATCTTTAACAGTTGCAAGCGATGAGTTTTTTTTTCAATTCTAAAATCTATAACTGAGTGTTATGGGAGAGTTTGTGTGTTCAGAATAGTGCTATGGTTGTAAAACAACAACAAAAAAACAAAAAAATAAACATACAAATTAAAAAAGCCATAGAGACACCTAACATAAACCTTATAACCACATCAGGATTTTCCCACCATCCTCAGCTGGTTGACTTTAAGCACGAATTTACTCAAGCTAATGCAGATGCAGAGAACATATGCTGACACATGTAAACACAAGTGTGAAGTAGTGAGCCAGACTTACTGACGAAACCTCCCCGTCGTTGCCGGGGGCGGTTGCCGGGGCGGCAGCTGCTGCCTCTTGAGCGGCCGCCTTCATGGCCGCCGCCTTCCTCAACTCCCGGTTGGCCTGGAGAGTGGAGAAGTAGTTGACGGCCGCAAACTCGATGAGGGCAGAGAAGACGAAGGCGAAGCAGACGGCTATGAACCAGTCCATCGCCGTGGCGTAGGAAACTTTTGGGAGGGAGTGGCGAGCGCTGATGCTGAGGGTGGTCATGGTCAACACGGTGGTGATACCTGGCAACAGATAGTAGGCAAAAGTTAGAAATATACAGAACCTGATTGCATATCTTTTGTATGCATTTCGTCTTTACCCTCGCCGTCTTGACTTGACTGTTCTGGTTTAGGCTATTGTTGTCGTGCTGAGGCAGAACATAGTTTTCCTCAGAGAAGTAATTACACTATTCCTGAGACGTTGGACAGAACCAGGTCATTTTATTTAGCTTTGCTTACGGTACTCATCGTTTATGTTTCGCAAACTGCTTCCTGCTCAAGATTCATATTTAATGTGCAGATATGAGTATGATCCATTTTTAACAGCTTTTCTGTTTAAATCAATCGATTCCGAAATCCCCCCAAAAATTAAATCAACATATATTTACTCGTGGCTAATACACAGATTTCTTTGCCCAGTTTTTGAAAAAAATATTATAGTTAAGCCAATGTTTATTTAGGAAATGACTCAGAAAGATAAGATCCGGCAGTCTGTACGTTTGACAAAAGTGGAACCATTGCCCTGACTGCTTGTTGGGTGGGACTCCAAAGCTAATTAGCAAATGCAGCCAGGAAAGCGTGAAATGAGAAAAAAAAAAAAAAAGCAATGTGAGAATTTAGTCCAGGCTGGAAAGAGAATGCAATGCTGCAAAAGGAAATGTGGAGCTCGCTCGCCTGTTTTATAAACCAGAGCTATGTTTGTATACCACCAATGCCGGAACCAATGAATGGGACAGGGCTTAGAACCAGTCAAACCAGGGAGGTAGCAAAATAGAATGTGAGCAGACCTTGTAACTCAACCAGAATCCCAATAAGCGCAGAAGCTACAAACTCTGTGATTCCTAAGAACAGGGCTAACTCCTGAAGTTATTAACTTCTATGGTTAGAGAACCCCTGGTAAGAATTTGATTTGGCCAGGGTCCAGGATTGTCTAAAGTGACAATCCTGGAGAGAGTGGCACCTCTTTGAGGTAGATAGAAGTTGCGTTTTACCTTTGAGCTAGAACCATTTGAACTGTTGGAAGAATTCAAATGAGTGTATAAATTGTCCTGGAAACTGAAAAAATTGGTTACAAAACTTGATTTCTACCCTCTTAATGACTAACTACAGCTTTTTAAGTGTAATTGGTGTTGTCACCACCAGCTCAGGTGGGATTTGTCCATCTGCTTGGAAACCAAGCAGATGGGTCTGACATACCTATCTGAAATTAATATTATCTGTTAACATATGCTTATCTAGTTGAAAAGAGGTTTATTTTTTTCACCACCTCAATGCAGAGTTCAAAATATTTCACATACTCCGAGTTTATACTGTTCATACAGTGTGAGTCTTCATTTTGAATCTTTTACTGAAATACTGCAGCACGAACAGCCAATTGCTAAAATTTTGGACTGGGTGCTTGGTAATGTGTCAATGCACGGACAAAGAAACCGCAGGCACTGACAAATAAACAATCCCAACTAAAAGTTCTATAAATATGTGTGTGCTTTGTAATAATCCCTAAACTATCAAAGTCAAAATTTTCCTCTAAAAACTATTACTATGAAGAAAACAACACGTTGGAGGGTAGAGTTAGTAGCAAGACAGAGGAGCATTGAAAACTTTAAAAAATACACTGTACGTCTAATTTGCACAATAAATGATATGATCTCTAAGTATGGATGTGAGTAGGCATTGTGAGTCTAGCTTACATTCAAACTTTACGCTATTAAATTACTTAAAGACACTGACAATTACTTAAGTGATCCTCCAACAAATAACATGTCAAGGCGACAAATAATGTCTGAAAAACAATTTCACAACACTTAAGCAGTAAAAACAAACAACCCCCAAAACCCCCCACGTTCGACTAACCAACTGTTAACTGCTGTCCTCAATCACCAGTAAAAGTTTTTTTTTTAAAAAGGGAAGGAGGGACATGGGAAGAAAGGCTGTCAGGGTAGGAGGGAGCATCAAGAGAATGAGAAAAGAAGAGTGTAGGAGGGGAAGGGAATGGGTATGAAGACAGGACAGAAATTAAATGCTTCGGGCATTTAAGTGCTTTTACGGGGAAAAAAAGTAATGCAAAAAATTAGGTCACACTCAATTAAGTCAGGGAGACCTGTGCTCAAGGGACTCTCAGCTCTTGGAGAGGTTGTTGACAGAACACTGCATGCGATGACTCTATGTACAGCCTCCTCTTTTTTCTCTTCCCGTCTTCTATCTTCTTTTACCCAGTGCTATCAAAGAACTTCAGCAGCACACAAGAGGGACACTGCTCCCAAGGACCTTTATCTTTATCTAAGTATGTGAAATGTTTTGCCCAAATTGCCTGGCGCACCGTGGGTTTTCTGCTGGTCAGTATGAGAATATACCCAGTTGATACACCCGGTGTTGAGCGAAATGAAAACAGCAGGTTGCGCGAGGCTAATGAGTTTCTGCAGATGTGCATACTGCATGGGGGCTGCCATGCTAACGCTAATGACCGGGATCCGTTGTCAAATACAGTACAAATACAATGTACTATCACACACTTCTTTCTTCGTGCCTTTTTCGGTTTGGCTCTCGTCGCCCTCATCCTTCCTCACAACGCATCTCTGTCTTTGCTCGGTGTCTCTCACCCTCTCACTGCTCCCAAAGGCGAGATCTGGGTGTCAACTGTAGCGTAATGTAATGCGAGCAAAAGCGGAACCTGCGAGTGTTCGGAAGAGGGCCAAGTAAACATCCTCCCCCTCTCTGCCCTAGCATGACCAATTTCCAAAAGGACATTTATTCCCAATTAATTCAGCGCCACCACAGTGGAGGAGGAATAAAGAAAAACGAGGAGAGGTTAAAACAGACCGCCTTTGTTCTCTTGCCGAAGGTTGCGTGTGCAGTTTAAATCAATCAGAATGCAAAGGATGTGGATATATGTATGCGTCAGGTTTGCACAGCTTAGTTCAATTCATGATTTTCTGTTATATCAACAAGAATTCCTGGTTTTGTTCAAACAACATAGAGCCATTCCATAACGGAAAAAGAAAAAAATAAATTTATAGAAAAATACATGCAACATTCTCTTGAAGAAACACCTGAAGATGTCAGCTTTGTATTCCACGTTTACAGCATTTGTGTATCAGGCTTGATCATCATGATAATGATATCACCAGCAGGCTGATGAGAACATACAAAACATTGCCTCCAATTTACTTTTTATGTGTTGGAAAATTTCCCACGGGTAACCGTTGTTAAGCAGTTTGTCGTACAGGACTCGTATTCAGTGACTATCTTGAGTCATCATGGCTTACAAGTTGAATAAGGAGCATTTAAATCACACTTGAATGCCCAGAGGTTTTTTCCAAGGGCCTAAATACAATTCCATATCATTTCAGTATCGGAGTAGTTTCAAAATATCAAAATATAAGAATAAGAGCACTGCTTTTAAAACTCTCTCATCAGTGGACTGACATGATATATTTTTTTTCTATAACATGGTCCAATTTAAAGTTCTTGCTGCCATGCAAAATTACAATAAAGAAATAGGTTTTCATTAAAAAAGTTATCTGAAAGACCATATGGCTGCAATTTTTGGCACATGACTTAGGGTTTGTCAAACATTTGCCAAAGATTCCAATCCAAGAAGAAATTAATGTATTAAAGCCATCTTTCCTATTTTACTTCTAAATGAGCCATGAACCTCTCATAGCAAGTTATTTAGAGAAGTCCATTTATAAAGTGAATTTCAAAATTACTTACCAAAGACAGTCCGAGCTGGAACGGATTCCTTATTAATCCAAAAAGAAACCTGAGCCAGGATGACGGTCATTATACATGGGATGTATGTCTGAATCAAGAAGAAACCCATTTTCCTTTGGAGGTGAAAGTGGACAGTCATGATGACATATTCACCTACAAACGTACAGGAAAGACTGTTGTTACATCCAGTGATATACAACGGCGAACAGAAAACGTTATATTCAAATAAACAGTTTGTTAAAAATGACATTGGTAATTGCAACTTTTGCTATTCTAACTTTTCCTCCAATCAATTTATTTCTCATGGAAACTCAGCGTGATTTAAAAGGGATTTGATATCAGTGCCTTGTCCCCCATTGTCAGCCTACCTGTGTTGGACTTCAGCCTCTCACTTGATACTGTCTGACCAATGAGGTCATACTGCAACAGGCTAGATGATTCCTGCGGTACCTCTACAGAAGACTGGGGTCCCTTTTTCCACGTGTACACAATCTCACTGATCGGGTAAGCATCTGGTCAGGAGGGAAAAGAATATTTGTTAAGATTTTGTCCCTAAACAAAAATGGAAGTCTTCTGGTTTCTGGTCATTAAAACATCTACCGTGGCCAACAACCTAAAAATTATGCAAAACAACATGAATGAATAAGCATACAAATAAATAACTCAGCATGCGGGAGAATATCTTCATTTTCATATCCCAAATGTAACACGTGTTACATTTCAAAGTCAAATCTTTGAAACTATCTTGTCAGATGGTCAGTTACTCTGTGACAGAGTGATCTTCGGAGAGTGACACCATCTGTCAAACCAGTGAGGCTTAACAAAAAAAAAAAAAAACACACTCACAACTCCCAAACTTGAGTGGGCAGGCATGACCATCCATTGGGAAGTTCATCAGACGCATGGGGCACTCTGCATTTATAGTTAATCTGTCAGAATGGAGAACAGACGAAATGAGAGGGTTATATTTGATATCGTCGTACGGCTGATGTTTCAAGCTTTTCAGTGTTGTGCCACGTTGTACATTGGCAAACAGGCAGAAACAGAATATGTGTTTAAGACATCCGAATCAGACGGAAATGAATGAAATGATCACAACCTCTTAACATCACACTGCATGAAAGAGGAAGCACATAAACATATCGACCTCCAATATTTAGTTAAACGTGTCCAGCTTGCATTTCTTGTGCACATTGAACCGTAATTCTCAATGTTTCCACATCCAAAACACCCATTTTTCTTCCACCTATTTGACATGGCCTTTTTCTGAGATGACCTATCTTTTGCCTCTGAAAGATTGTTTGGATAAGATATCAAGTAAGTATATTTTCATATCTTCAAACAAACTTTTTAAAAAGCCATCTATGGCCTTGCCATAAATTAAAATGAGGTGAGCGTCTTGACCACCTCCCTCTAATCTCCCAACACTGGTGTGCTTGCTGTTTGATAAAGAACATTTTCATGTTGCTGTTGGGGATACTGTGGAGGACTGGGATACTTATATCAATAATTCAACAAATGAAAAAATAAATGATAAGTCTATTGGTGATGTTCTGTCTTACCACCTACTTAAAAAGCTTTTAGATTTCAGATGCAATTTGCTTGCACTGAAAAAACAAAACAAGCTGTTCTCCCAAGTGAGGTCAGGTTCTCAAAACTAGTTTCATTTGTGTAATGTAATCAAGACGTTTTAGCAGTTAAAGCCAACCAATCAGTGAAGTGATCACAAACATGACAGAAATGTTTCTCTCCTCAGAACAAGATGTCCACAAATATCTGATGGACATTTCTCAATAAGTGTAAAACTCCAGAATTATTCAGTTTAGATATTTCAGACACTGATTGTTCTTTTATGAAGAACCATGAATTAAGGTGTGAATAAAGACAAATATTGGAACAGTGGAGCTGATCAAAACAGTCAGAAAATGTATATATCTACTAACAGATGGGGACTGAAGTCAAGAAACACACATGTTTCTGTAAAGTTACAAATACTATTTATTTGTTAACTAAAGAAGAAACCTTCTAATCCATTTACTAAGAACTCACTGACTACAATCTGTAGCCTTTATTTATACTCCTCATTTAAACGGGTAATGCTTCAGTGGGCTACACTAAACACCAATCCAACTTTTAAAGTCAATTAGTAAAAAGAGAAACACCCAATACACAACATGTTGAGAATATCTGAGTCATTCGAACTCTCATTTGTGATAGGTATTTCCACTTACACATTCTGGCTTTGAAATAAGTTCAGTTTTACTGAATGAGCATTTAACTCCATCTTTGAAAGAAAAGTTTATCTTCTCAGATACACTAATGCTTGTTTGACTAGCTTTAAAGGGCTGTTTTCAGCATCAGATGGCACATATCTTGCTTTTGGAATAGCTTTTCATATCTGAGCACATTCTTGGATGCCTGTATTGTTTTTGCTTTTTTATGTTGCTCTTGTTGTTTTCAATTGGCTTTCAAGGGTTTGTTGCTCTATTCCGGTCTTGGCTAGCTGTAGATGTGAGTGTCCGGCCCCGTTACCTCATGGTGTACAGGATGGTTCCGTTCTGCATGATGCGGAACAGCTTGTTGGGGGTGGTCATGTTGTGAGAGATCGACCTCTTGCCATTCCGGAAAAAGGTGTCGGGCGTCCAGATCTTGCTGACCATCAGGTTGTTGAGCCGCAGGATCTCGATTGGACCTTCGAATTTTAGCCGCTCGTCAATCCACGTTTGGCGAAAGAACACGTCCATGGTGTACTCCTGGCAAGGGTTCAGACCAAGTGTTAATGATTTATTTACTACATTTACCATCGGTTCTGCTGCTGGTGCTGCTACTCCTGCATCTACTATCTGGTGCCATTATTATCTGGTACCCCTGGAGAGAATGGCAGATGGTTTTATGAGCCACAGTTTCAGTGGAACCAGCTTGACAGAGAAATGCCAGTGTGATGAGTTGTTTTCTTGTGCTGCCATTTTTTGTTCTATTAATTTTTGTGTTTGACTCTTCTATATCGTATTACTCTTTTGGGGAAAATGTAAAGAGGTACTGTGTATAATGAAATATTAGACATACACATCATATAGTTTATCTCGTTTTGTAACTTTTCACTATATTTTACACTATATATGTGAATAGAAAAAACAACTAATATACTGGCGGAGTTGTTGACATAGATATCGATAACACAAAATGCTGAAACAGATTATTTTTATCCGTTTAGTTTTTTTTATTATTTGTTTTTTTATGGGTATTCAGTGATTCCATTTTGATACTTCAGCAAAGAGTAGCATTGCTACTGTTTGCAGGCTTCCCAACACAACTGCAACCAGCATTTCATTGGTTTCAGAGATTGTCCAAGAGTAACCAAAGCCTAAAGCCTGCACAGCATAGAGCACAAAAGACATCCATCACTCAGCCTATCCCGTCCCAACATCAGCCACATCTCCCTCTGCCTCTGTGGCGGGAGGATTGTCAGGCAGATTAAAATCCTAAGCTGTACTAATGACATCCTGCTCAAATGCTGGAATAATGACGGCTGAGCAAACCACGAGTTAAGACTATATGCTTAGAGTTTCTGCTCCAACTGTACATTTCATTTTCGCACAACATCTCCTTTCAGCCCCATAATCAAACATTTGCATGCAAATGATCGTGAGTGCATTTGCGTGTTTATTCTGAGCCAACGCTCCGGCGACCAGCAAGGTTTACATACCATCTCAACATCTGAAACAGGTCCAAAGCTGGTGACAAAGATGTCAGTTTTGACCTCTGTCACCGGACCTACAGCAGAAGGAGGGGACTGATTTTACACACAAAAAAAACTTTGGATAAAAACACTGTAACTCAGGCAAATTTATAGGTTATCAAATTGAAAGCTTTGAGTAATCTCTAACCTATTCACAGAGCAAGATGGAAACATAAATCAGATTACTCACGTAAATCATATTCAATTGTTAGGTTATTGTCAATAGTTATTGGGTTATTTTGAATTGATGTAGGAAGAAAATTAACTGTGAAAGCCTATGTCATAATCATTATAGGGCAGACTCTAGATGAAAACGAGGCACACATCCACAGGAGTGAAACTTTGTCCCCCCGAGAGAAGAAATCAAGAGAGCAGGAAATTATGTCAGTTTGATCATATTATTATTTGGTCATCAGCATACCTCCAAATCCAGGTCGTAGCCTGTTGTCATAGCCATCCAGTAATCTATCCAAGATACGCGTGATGTTATCCAAATAGATACTGGTGTCACCCTGCTGATTTCCCCAAACAGTGCCCGCACTGTAACTAAAAAACACAGACACCGATGACAGCATTTTTAGTTGTTGTTTAACCAGGTAACAAACACATTTGAAAATACAGAGTTTCAGAGGCAACCCGTTTGTTCAAAGTCCTGTTCCTGCCGTGCGTAAAAGTCCGAGAACATGCCGAGAAGAGAGTTGCCATACTCACCAAAACAGAAATAAGCAAGTTAAAAGGAAAGCCATGCCTCGCAAAACCCCGACACCTAGAAATCTCTGGTCAACTTTCACAGTCAGCATATTCCATAATTTAGAAGCATGATTAATGGTTCGCTCAGGTCTTCCTTTTAGTTAGAAACCGTGCGATGGTATCGCGCCAGTCCAGCACGACTTCCCCTCTCGTGCGATTGCGCCCGCCTCAGCCTGAATCGCTCAGCTGGAAAAGCCTAAAGAGTTTTTGAAGAGAGAAGAGGAGGAAGCGGGTGGGGAGGGAGGAGGGGGGGGGGGGGCTTTAACATTAGCTGGACATAGCTTCTTGCAAGACATACACGCGCTTCAAGTGGAAATGGAGTTTTTTGGAACAGTGTTGTGCCTTGACCAAAAATAACGTATGCTGTGCTTGGAGATGGTTGGGGAAGAGCAATGGAGAGAGACAGAGACTGAGAAGAGGAAGAGAGATTACACTGATAGACTACCTTCATATCAATGGAAGAGATCGTTCTGCAGGAATACTTTCTGGGGAATATTTGCGCTATTTTTCTCTGCTTTTGTTTCTCGTGCGTGCACGCGTGTACATGTCCTAACATGTGTGCGTGAAAGCGGTGGACTTTGTCAAACAAAAGGCTGAAAATTGCTACTAGAGATAAAGCATGATTCATATAGTGGTTGGGTGGTTTGAGTGGAGTGGGTGGTAGATGCATTTAGTGCACCTCCAAACTCAGCAGACCAAGAACATGGGTAAAGGGGGGAGGGAGGGGAGGGGGGGGGGGTTACATACAGCACTGTCAAAGTCAGCTACTCCCAACAAGCTGGCATCTTTTTATTTTCCATTTTGGGAAACCACAATGGAGTGCATCATATTTACTTGTATGCAGAGGCTTCAGTGGCTCACACTATAATCTGCACTGCACAGTTGAAAGAAGTACAGCATGCAGGCCAAGTTCAAAGGAGGAAGTCACTTCCTTTTTATTCTTTATTAACTGTAAAATGCAGTTCTTGCTCAGTCCAAACGTTTCTGTTAGAGGCGATAAAACCACTGTCAAAATTACCACTGTTAGAAAAAGGCTTATCACAGTTCTCGTGTTGAATATGAGGTGAAGTAAAATATAAAAAAATAAAAAAATAAATAAATAAAAATTCCCACAATGGGGGGAGGAGTCATTGCTCTCTGACCAACTTCAGCAAGACTTTGTAGTTTCTCCTCTTCAGCGATCAATGACGTAGAATATTTTTCCTTCAGTGTAGCATTACTATTTCATTATAAGTGGTATCATAGTCATTTCATCAATAATTCACTTGAGGGAGAGAAAATATAGGATTTTTCTTCTGACAGCATTAAAATGTGAAGACTGATTGCGCAACATAATCCCTCAACTCTGCTCTCTTTGTACTCAAAACACAAGTTATATAATGATCTCCAAATGTGATTTGAATCATATGCAAAGAAAAATGGATCATTTTCAGTTCAGTTACAATCGGTAATTTTAAGTAATATTTCTCACCGAAGCGATATAGCCGATGATTGGTGCCAGCAGATTTAACTTTAGCAACCAGATTTGAAAATGAAAGTCTCTGTTCAGATTGTTTCTGCATGTTCTGGAAAAAAAACATAAGATATGGATTCCATTAATCTTATAGTGGAATCGCCAGTTGTGTTGTTGCATTGCAGGGAACACGAAATATACCACTGGAAGGAAAAATAAGAAACTTTTCATTTGATATTTTCCTCTCCAATTCCAACAGTTTTTTGTAGATATTAACAACTTAAGATATGGCAAATTAGAATAATTTTAAGATTATTTAATAAGGTTTGATGTGGCACTGCTTCTGTACTGATAATGGACACAGATTCAGCATCAATAAATGTGGAAGAGCAAGGGCGGTTTTAAATATAGCGGACAACTTGGAGGTAGCGCTGTATCAGAATGAGATCATTGGCAGTTTTAGCTTCTCTGCTGACTGGTAGAAAATGACATCTGACCTCGGTGTCATAATCATCTTGATCCTTTCAAACCATCTGACCAACCAGAGTGTGTTGACCACAAGAGGCTTGTGACCTCATTCTCTTTGCTGGCACAAGCTGATATCGTGGATGATCCCAGACGGAAAAAACAACAACATTTTTTTCCAGTTTTTCATGAAGTTAATACACTGTAAGTGCTTAGCGCTGGGTACAGTAGAGGCTCACATGTAAACGCATAGAAAAATATATGCTTTGATGATGCAAACTTCTGCAAGCAGCTTGAAGAAAAGATATGGACATAGAAAGACAAACATCAGATTTGATTTAGACAATTAATTCATTGTTTACATAAATTAAGGACACCGAGATGTTTGTACAGGCACAAAGTATCGAGAAAAAAATAAATAAAATGCTATTTACTGTTCTTAAACTTCTGCAAATCCAGAGAATCCTCCACCAACCCTCCATATCGAGGGCATTGGTCAAAATAGCTGAGTAAAATCTGATATTTATGTAACACAAATATTAATCTTGCAACCTGGAGGTCAAACTTTGGTGTGTCTTTTCACCAGTTTTATTGATTATCGTGCCAGATGTCGCACACGCTCTGACATTTTATTTTCTCAGTGTCTCTCTGATCCAGTTCATGCTTTCACCGTAATTGGTCATTAGGTTTTAAAGCCCATGTCAAGCGAACAGTTTCAAATAATGGGAGGTCATTATATCTAACAGGCAACATTTCCACAAAATATAATCACTTAACCATTTGCGAGACTTAAGCTCTGAACGGAGATGAGAAAGGCGAAGTGATGATGATGGATTGCAATTAGGTACGCCTCATTCTGTGGGAACAATACACCTCACATGCCAGGGAGGGAGACAATTCAATTATGTGTTTAAGATGTAGAATTACATGGAAGATAAGGGGGAACACACTTCAGAATCTAGTGTTTTGATAAGGGGAAAAAATGCCTTCAATAGGAGTTCCTTAATGAGTTCATTATTCAGGGAAATAGAATTTAATTGGATGTGTTGTGATATTCGCTCTGTATTTGATTCTCGGCGACACGTATCGCAACTTCGAGAGAGGTTAGGTGCAAAGCTTGCAAATTATTGTGGAAAACTTGCCAAATCTTGCTGACACTTTGAAGGATCAAGCGTTCCGAGATGGCGGAACCAGAATTAAGCAGCACTGCTCTGTGGCAATATATTTTTCCTTGGAAAATGTTAGAGGTATAAAGGAATGTGAGCTCAAATGAGCAGACGTAGCTACAGAAGGAGAACAGATGGATATGTGGAAAAAAAGATAGAAGGAGAGAAAAAGATCTTATTTTTCAAAATGATGTTCTTCTGAATGCCCGATTGCACATCTTTAGCTCAACAACATGGAAAGTTCTGGAGTTAGTCTGTTTCTTTTTTACACAAAAACGCATGCATAGAGACCATCCAAGTGTCTGCTAAAAGACCTGTTCATGTTTTATACAGGCTGCTACACTTTATCCGCTGTTAATACTTAAAAAAGTGCTTTGTCTAAACTCATTTCTGGCCACACCACAATGCTTCTATAAATACACGATTTCTCCCACGTGAGATGGACCCACTGTACTTCATGAGTCTCACCATGTGGTATCTATGGTAACCACTTAGAGTAGAAGAAACAGCATGTGCGGTGCTGTGCATGTGTGTGTGTGTGTGTGTGTGTATCTGATGTGTTAGTTGAGACTATTAAGAACTAAATATGCTCACTAAAGTACAAAGACGAGGGAAATCTGATTATTGCCTCTGGATGTTATTTCTATGTTTTAGATTCAACATGGAGACAGAACTTCTGCCAGCATGGGGGGTATACGGTTAAATGATAAGCTTTAGATTTTAGGCGCATTAGTGTACATTTTTTAAATAAAATGCATGTTTTCTTCCTCCATCAGACACCGTAAGTCACAGAAAAACCGCTCCGTTACAGCATCATTAAACTTGGTTGGATGAAAAACTTTTAAGACTCGGGCTGGCTGCACCTCTCTGCCCTCGTTCTCAGCCCCCACAGTCACACATCCACAACTCTCAACACCAACCAGCAGTCAAGTGAAATTTTATGCCGCTGCACCACCTCCATCGGAGAGCACGTCAGGAAAAAAATATCCACTGCAGTTTCCATGGAGACCAAACCATACCATAGTAAGAATAAATGTTGATTCTGAGAAAAAAGAGTTGACCTCTTAACTGATGCAACCAGCACTGGAGAGCTGCCAGCTGCCCGTTTAGAAAGAGTTGGGATTGAAACCCCGACACAGAAAGTCACAATAATAAATTGAAACATAAGCGTAAATAGGTCAGAATGAAGCATTTTATGAGCAACAATCTAAGTAGGACTACTCCCTGTTTTCCTACTGATGCTTCTATGCTGACGAGAAGATGAATAATAGAAAGAAAACTTTAACAATACAAACTTCCAATAATAAACTAAACAGGGAAAGGAAAGATTTCATATCAAACATGACGTGAACAAGTGACGCAAGAATGAGACTCTCAGTTAAATAATTTGATGGGTTTGCGTGTGAAATCTTTGCATGATGTTAAAAATAGACGTGCAGAAGAATGTGCCGTGTTAGCTTTTTAAACTTACAATTTTTTAAAGAAGATTGAAAAGCTAAAGGCTGTCTATGTATTATTTATCATTTTGTTAATGCACGTTAAATGTTAAATAAATAAATTCACCTCTTAACTGCACAACTGCTAATAAAATATCGCTTCCCTTTATGATTCTGCTTTGTTTTTTGTTTTTTATGATGACATTATTTCAGTACAAAATACAGAATTTGATGTTATATCTCATTATATAATACTGACGAACAAACTAACAAAGCTTCAGTGAAGATTTCACAAAAAAATCAAATAATTGTGGCCTGTGCCTCAGAAGTAGAATCAACGTTAATTATATTACACGTCTAAACGAATAGGAAAAAGGAGCTTGGGCTCTAAAAGAATTGCATCAATGGCAACCAAACGTCAGTGAGCATGTGTAGGTGGCGCCCTGTGAACTCTGCAGAGCTCTAGCTTAAAACTGTTTAGACAGTTGGTGATTGTCAAAGTTTTGTTCTTAAGTACAGTTATTCCATATCATAACGCTCAGTTTCACCGATTGCTGTAAATGTGCATTATATATACGTATGTAATAATCAATTTGAATAATTATCTTATGTTTTCAAAGCTGATATCCCCGAGCATCACCCTGGATGGCATGAAGTGTCAGCTTCGCCGTGTCACAGGGGGCTCTTGATCTTTGCAATCTGCAGGTGGCTCCGTGGAACAGCAACACCAGAGGCCAACCACTGTGTTGTCATCCTGTGTCACAGTCTAATCACCGCTTCTGATGCCAAAGGCACCGAAAAAAAGGGGTGTTCTGGCAGAA